AATGTGAGTTATTTGTGTCTGTACAATGATAGCTTATAGTGGTGATAAAATTGTCTTACCTCTATCTTCCTGAGTTTCTCTTTCCCACAGTGAAATTCGAACAGCTTTCTCTTACAGGTCACTTGTTCCAAAGCTCTCTGGAAGTGAATGTGAAGGAGGCGAGAGAGCAGACCTGATTCAACTCCCCACCCCAGACACAGAAAGTCCCCCAGACAATACAGATTGACACGGATTTCCCAGAACCCAACTGTTTATGTTCACTGCCCTGCGTGAGGGTGCCAATTCTTGCGCAACACACAATACTTGGACAAACCTGACTTTTTTTTCCTGTTTGTCACCAAAATGTGTAAAATGGACTCACAGTGCACACAGAATACTTGACACACTCCATTGTTATAACATCTGTATGTTTTCTGTAACGATCTCGGTACAGAAGGTGCCTACATACAGTTTTTTCACAGTCACTGTACCAACACCAGATTGTCCTGACAGTAAGTGTGATATTTTATCACAGGCGTGTGGGTGAATACAGATCCCTTGTGACGTTCAAGGCAGAAGAACTCAGCCGCATGAGGTGATTAAACTGGAAACATGAGTAGAAACTGTACTCAAAAAAATTCTGCAATTTCCCTCACGGGGTCAATAAAGTATCTATCTATTAGAAAGGCTTGTTCTCCAGCTCCTATTCGGAATAACTGACCTCTGCACTGAGGCCACTGGAATAGTGACGAATATGGCTGAGCTGTGCAAACATTTCTGAGCTGTGCAAACATTGTCATGGTCCCAGCTGTGTGATTAAAGATTAAAAAAGGTCAAAGACACTGTGATAATATTAACTTAACCTTCATTAAGCTTGTTTTGCAGATATTGATATTGCAGTCTTCATTTATTTTAGAATTCAGTCACTAAAACTACAGTGTGTATTTAGATACTTTTACTTCAGCCCTAATAAGTCTGTCACCCTGTGGGCAGGACACAAGAACTCAGCATGATCACATACAGATACTCTCATCACAGGTCTCTTCCCCTTCTTTCATCAAGATCTGTGCTGGGCTGCTCCAGAGAGGCCTTGTCTGGAGGAGTAAGACTCAAGGAGGTGATCTTGATTGAACCTCGAGTATTCTTGGAATTTTCTCACTGGGAAGGAGAGGAGTAACAGATTTTTCATGGAGAATCCTGGCAGGAATCTTCTCGTTTGCCAGTGAACGATCCCTCCATCCATCTTGGAACACCTTCATCCAGTAAAGGGTTTGCAGGCACCACTCCTGGCAGGCACCAGGCACAAGGCAGGGTACACCCTGGGAGGGATGCCAGTCCACCACAGGGCAGGGGCAGACACAGACACACACATTCACACCAGGGTCAATTTTCCCAGTAGCCAATGAATGCACCATTAAGTCTTTGGACTGTGGAGTACAGTGGAGCACCTGGAGGAAACCCACATGAACACAGGATGAACATACAAACTCCACATAGACAGCACACAAGGACCGGAACTGAACCCAGGGCCCCAGCGCTGTGAGGCAGCAATGCCCACCACTGTGCCACAATGGCACCCACCTAATGTCACGACTATTGTCCCCCCTCCTTAAGGGTGCTCCAGCCCTTTCACTAAAGACTT